TCAGTCAAAAACAACCCAACAATAGATTGTATTTATACCGAGGTTAGTCAAAAACAACCAACACTAGATTGTATTTACACCGAGGTCAGTCAAAAACAACCAACAATAGATTGTATTTATACCGACATCAGTCAAAAACAACCCAACAATAGACTGTATTTATACCGAGGTCAGTCAAAAACAACCCAACAATAGATTGTATTTATACCGAGGTCAGTCAAAAACAACCAACAATAGATTGTCTTTATACCGACGTCAGTCAAAAACAACCCAACAATAGATAGTATTTATACCGAGGTCAGTCAAAAACAACCAACAATAGATTGTCTTTATACCGACGTCAGTCAAAAACAACCCAACAATAGATTGTATTTATACCGAGGTCAGTCAAAAACAACCCAACAACAGACTATTTACATCGAGGTCAGTCAAAAACAACCCAACAATAGACTGTATTTACACCGAGGTCATTATAACAGTGAGTTTAATAAGATTGTTAAAAGCCCTATATCATCAACTTCATTATCAATAGCCTACCTAAGTTTACAATCTGGTCGTACTTAAAGCCTGTTTTGTGTTATCGAATTAGCTGGGAAACATGAACACGTTATGCAAGTGATACAAATATGTTTCTACAAAAATAAGGGAAGTTAAAAAGTACAAATTGATTGGTAATTTGTCATTATTGTCTATGGTCAATAATGCCTCAAAACATGAAACAGATGTTGTATGCTCTGAGGTGTCTTTAATTTCATAAAAATAGCTTTTGTTCTTGAGTAAAATCTGCTCCATAATCATATAAAACAGGTCAGCTAAATAAGAAGTTCAATCAGGACTCATCGGAATTCAAACAAAACCTGATCTACAATATCAGCATTTTCTAAATATCAACTTCAAAGTATTTCTATGCAGAATCAGAATGTTTTTATACTGCGTCTTAGATTGCAAGACGTTTCAGTCCAACGCGCTTCGTGTACATCATGTGCATACGGCTTTATTGCTTTCTGTGCGCAACAAATATACACTATTTTTCAATGGGTGACACTATAGCTCCCTAGTCGTCCATCCTATTGTTTTGTGACCAGCGCACGTCCGTAGTACACGGGAGGGGTGGGGTTGAGGCGAGAGGCAGTCCCCCTTTTTTCTAGAGTAGGTTTTTTTTCGATGATATTTTAATTTACTTCGTAAATTTTTTCATTTGTAAGCTGCTTGCCCCATCCCCTTCAGTTGTTGTACGGTCGAACACTTTTCAACATTTAAAAAGAAAAGAGCCAAAAAATTAGAGAATGGTCTGACTTCCACCACGATATAGGAGTTTCGAGTTTGGACAAATTTCAAATGCTTTTTACGTTAGTCAAACTTTTTGGAAGGTTGGCCTCCCCACTCCGGAAAACGTTACTACGGGCTTGCCGCGAACTGCATATTTTATCGCCACCTTATATATGGATAAAGGCATATGTGCTACTGTTATTAATTTAAAGGAAACCTTATGATTTTAAATTTTTCAAAGTTTTTATGACTTTCTGAGAATCCACATTTGATTTACACCAAATCTTCAATGAAAAAAGTAGCACAATATGTCTGAAGTTTCTCCTTTGAAACACCTTATATTCTACGCTAATGGTCTGCTTTGCTTATGACATACAGTTTGTACTATAAACAGCAATGTTCTAACTATGTCAATGAAGAAAGTAGTCCAGTATTGTCGTATTCTCAGGGCTGGGGATGCAGACATGTTTATCACTAGACTGACACCCAGATACTCCACAAAGATGAATGATGATGGAATTAAATAAATCCTCCTCCATCGCCAACAGTTAATTGATAATGTCTAGAATTTAATTCAGTTATGGATGGATAATGTCGATACTTCCAGTGGAATTCTGTAGCTCTGTATTTTTCCTGTCGAGCTGTGTTGTTAAGAATGTTTGTGCTGTAGCCTTTTTAAATTAAATACATGTATTGTGAATGTTTACTGCTCGGCTACGTTAAGGAAGGTCCGAGTTCACATTCGTGGTACACCGTATGGGAAGTTTAATCGTGCGTCAGGAAAAATTTAACAAGCGACAAAAATCAAACTAACAACATGATCATTCGTAAATAACAAGTTGAATTCATTTATTTTATCAATTATTTATAAAATCTTGTAAAATTTCAATACTTGATAACAATACTGTCAAGTAATAGAAGACAGTCTCTCGTTAAATATGACGTCACCAGCCTTGACATGACGGAGTACAAGGGATCCAAAGAAAAAGATGCACTGGTTCAATAATTACAAAAATGCTTAAATGAATAAGAAATCATCGCTATTAAAACTAAAAGAAAATATTTCTTTAATACAATGTATATAGATTTTGAATTTATCTAATAGCTTTGGAGCTTCACAGGGACAAGGAATGTATAGAATATCGCTAGAACAATAAGCGTATTCGTAATTTACATCAAAAGTGCAAGGACATAGACTAGTTTGTTTAAGATGAAATATGGAATATTAATTGCTTATATAGTGTATAATTTGAAAAGTGCTTGGAGCTGATTCGGTCTGCATAACATTTTTTATCTATAACAGAGTTTTAGCGAAGTGGAATTTTTTAGCTATTGTACACATTTTCTGCAAAATTATCAGTACTTCCCAAACAGCACAATCTAGCTCACAACACAGGGTAGATGAAGTAAACATCCTTTAATGTGTATCAATTTTTTCCTTCAAAAACAAGCGTATGCCCTTGCACTATCCTCATTTCCTACATTCAGCTTATCAATTCTTATTTTATTCCAGTCACGTGACAAACAGCTGATACATGTATGCGATATAATTGGCACTGTGTACGGCCCAGCCCTATCCATTATGGATAGCTATTTTACATGTTCTACATTTATTCAGTTACTTCGTTACAATTAAAAAAAATAATATTACATATTAAAAAGGTGCTAAGATCGCATTCTCAATTTCGGTCCTTAACACAGCTGAGTGGTTCAAAAACTGTCTTATTTCATACATAATAATCACGAGGTAAAAGCTTAAGTTGATATCCCTGATTTACGTAACATAGTTTTAACTTTTTTTCTACTGAATAGAGAAAACGTTTCCCAAAGTTGATAATTAATACAGGTGTTTTATTCTGGTAGAGTTTCAAAATCCGCTGTTTCTTTCTTTCCTGTTCTACAGGATGCAGTATAGCATTGTTAATCAGAATGCTTATGTTCTTAAACAGAATGTATGAATTAAAGACACGTACAGATTACTGAGACATACCTGGTATATCTAAATATAAATTGGTCTGCACAACTGTCTGGTAGGGGAAACGTCCGGATTATTGGCGTCGAATTAATGAGGTTCCATTGCATAATAATGGAAAAAAAATCATCTTGACACTAATTAACCAAATAACTACCATTTAAGGTTTCTTTGTAGCGCATTTGTGAGAAATATGGCTTCCGTATGACTGTGAATTAACATAACAATAGAGTTAGGGGATAATGAGAAGAACTGTACCTAACGAGTTTCTATAGAGGAATCTACTTCACTTCTCCAATGACCAATCACCAAGCCTTGTATGGAGGATTAGCTTTTATGTTCTCCATAAAGTAGTTATAGAAAAGGAGTATGGTATATTCTTTCTACTGATGAGATTGTATAAAGCAAGGTCCTGTGTACCTTTTGTTATCAGCAAAAAAAATCTCTGCACTGATAAATGGTTATATTTAAGTGCTGCGTGCAAGTAAACAACCCTTCAGCGACAATTGTTCGGATCCTAAGAATTACTGAAATATTTGCTAAGGGATGTAGAGTACTGAAAAAAATAAAGCAATGAAAAGCATCAGGTCTAAGTGTTTTTGGTCTCATTATTTTTGATATTCTTTAAATTAAAACACCAAATCGATATACTACATAATTTGCTTGATTATCTTTTTTTAAAAAAAGATTCTGCTTCAGAGGGATATACGAAGAAAATTGTCGATTTAAACACAGAGCTTTGATATGTTTTGTTTATGTCATCATATTCCTTATTTAGGAAAAGAACTAAGATCTTCCTTGACAATAAAAATATTTATGCCCCTCGCCTTTCAGTACGTACTGTGCACAAATGTAAAATTAAAAAAAAACAACAATAGTTCGATACAGCATGTGAAATAGAAAGAACGATTTACACTAGAACATAAATGAATCAACGATTTACAGTAGAGTGTTAAACAAATCAACGATTTACAGTAGAGTGTTAAACAAATCAACGATTTACAGTAGAGTGTTAAACAAATCAACGATTTAAAGTAAGATGTCATAAATAAAACAACAATTTACAGTAGTTTCATTTATTAGATAGATGTCCGCAGAGTTACTAAAGGACACTTAATCCTCTGATGAACCAAAATACGTCCTCCTATTACCAACTATAGTTGACACGGAGTTCCTACATAACATAATGTTGAGTAAAAATCCTCAAATACAGAATATCCTAATAGTTGATACATGCTGTAGCTGAGTCAAAGTCCTGGGAACAACATGTTTTGAAGTTAAATATGAAGATAACGAATCAAGCTAAAAAGTCCATCGAAACAAAACAAATTTGGAGCAGAGCGAACACAAACCTTTAAGAAACTCAGAGGTGGGGTCACATGTCATGGAGGAGTAAGCATTCTCTGTCGACCCTAGTCAATTCAAGAATAGAGAATTAAATTTTAATAAAGTGAAAGATTTACATATGTAAGACATGTTCGGTTTTACCGATAACTTTGTTTTACAACACTTGTCATTTGTAAATTCCCAATATTTAATTCAAACAAAAATATCTTCATAGACAATAATTTCGAAAAAAAAAAAATCCGTGTTTTTGATGTAACAGAGGCACAAAATATAAACTGAAGACTTAGACTGCGTTAAATGTGTCAATATAATCTGTTTGTAGAGGTATAAGTGCTTTAAATGGATATAAATCGTGTATTTTATTGATTTGCATTTTATCTCTATAATTTCTTTTTAGTTAAGGGAGTGAAGGAATCCCTCATCATGTCCGGAAACATGACTTCCAACGGCACAGCTATTTGTAAGTGTAATTGTTTCATGCATGTTCTTATAAAAAAAAGTCTAAAAGCCGAAAAGTTATCTGAAACACAGCATGGTTACGGTTTTCATAATGTAGAAAAATCTTGTTGCAGTTAACCCACCGGAAATACCTATATGGGGATTCTGGGTAAAACAGGTGGCGACCCCTATTGTCACCGTTGTAGGACTGACCGGAAATACCTTGTCGTTCTTAGTAATGGGTTGCTCTAAGAGACTCTGCAAGAAATCGTACAGCCAGCTTCTATGTATGCTTGCCATTTTTGACAGCCTTAACTTGGTTACCAATCAAGTAGAACTAATAGATGAAATGAATGTCTATAAATCAGGGCGTCAGAACAGCTTTTACAGGGACTTTCCAGACAGTGCATGTAAGATCTATAATTTTCTCAAGCACGTTTTCCTCCTCGTATCGTCCTGGTTGGTTGTCTGTCTGTCTGTTGAGAGAGTTCAAGCCGTGTGTTTTCCCTTCAGGAGGACATTTATACGAAGGCGGTTTAGTGTTGCCATTCTTGTGACTCTAACTATCGTCATTTTGTCCTTGACACAGATGTTCCGAATTCTATTTATAGAAAATGTGAACGGAATTTGTATGGCAGTACAGGAGTACTTGACACTATATGTTTATCTTCATCAGTACGGCTATCATCTAAGTCTCCTGTTTGCTTTACCCTGTGTCATTGTTCTCTCGTGTAACTTTGCTGTCATCTACCAGATTTACGTCATCAGAAAAGAAGCGGGAAATGACCGTCCTCGATCGTTAGACAGTACAAGAAAGGCGACAACCATGTTATTATTGATAGGTTTCGTGTTCATTATCACCATGTTTCCTCAGTTTGTGTGTACATGCATCCTTCTGTATTACACTGAGGAAAGCAGGCGACATATAGGACAACACATCATGCTAAATATGAGGCCATATTTAGAGTTATTTACTGTAGTAAGTTATACAAACTATTCAATTAACTTTGCTATATACGTTTTGTGTGGAAAGTCCTTTCGACGGGAAGTGAGGAGAATCTTCAAACGTACCCGGCGAGGAAGTTTCTTTGGAACGCGGACTCGTACAAAAGAAGAGGTACTGCGGTCCTAATCATCTGTCAGATCAAGCTATCTACGGCAAAGTATAATGTGATAGTATATAATCTTCAAATGACGATCTCATTTCATTACGTAAGAAAAGAATTTCTTCCCTGTCTGTTCACGTTAATAATGAATGTTTTTTTTTTTAATAATTACCTAGTATTAAAGACGATCAGATCAATAACATGTGATACATGTTCCATCAGGTCAAATAATAGTTTACGCCAGTAAAATTTACAAACTGTCGTTGTTGACGGGACGATAATTTCCGTATGTTCGTCAAGAATCCATGAACTGTAAACCAATTTGCAAGGTTGATAAATTCTGAAATTTTTTTTGGAAACATATATGTATTGAACAAAGAGAGAAAGTGAAGAAAGCAAAGATACTCAATCTAAAAAAAACCTACAAATAATAGAAATGTATGGACAGGGTATAGAACACAGACCCCTGGAAATTCCAGTGTGGGATCAGGTTCCTAGGATTAGTAAACATCCCCTAAGTAGTAATCAAGTAGATAGAATATACTGTAATCAAACTGAGTATAACACAAAAGACAGTACAATTGGTATGAAACGCATCAGTCAAAATACAACCCAGTGATAAGTTATTTACTAACAATGTAATTTTAACGATCATAGAAATTATTCAATGCTCTGTTTCCGATTTGTATTGTTTCAATGGACTTTTGAACTTGATTACCGTCCTTTATCTCCATATTTCATGGTGACTTTAAACAAGGTTATTGAAATTCTTGTAACATAAGTTGTCTAAACATGTTTTTAATTTTTTTTTTTTCAAGGAATAACATTAGTTTTTTATTACATACATTTTCACATACTGTACCATTTTCAAATTTGTTAGATGTCATACCTGTGCCTTGATTATATAATAGTTCTTAAATGTAGTTTAATTTTCATTAAATCTCACACCTACCTATCATATCTGCATGGTTGTTTTGTTTTTTTTATCGGAGCAATTACTGATTTTCTGTCATTTCGTTTATCCTCTTAGACACCATGTATGCAAAAGACAAAGAATGAAAAATAAAAGTAAAACTTTCAGGTGATAGTTCCGAGTAAATATTTTACGAAAAAAAATATCTTTACTACTGCACTTTCTCATTTCATACAAAAAAAAATTAAAGATTTACCTTTCAGAGATATACTCTTAACAAAATATGCTGCACAATTTTAACATTCTTTTGTCCTTGTAAAACTAATTACTACACACTTGTAACACATTTAGTAACCTTCATGTGTTTGAAACAAACATTGTATATCTTTTAAAAATTGCTTTTCATTTCTTGCAATGTTATGAAAATATATAAAAAGATAATTAAAATAAAAATGATGTGATAAGCGTTGAATAAAGGATTTTTTTTATTTCGTAATTTATAGTGCTGTTATGAAACTTCTTGATTTAAAATACTGCACGAGTTAGATTTGATATGAAAATAATAAATTGATCTCGTGGCAGTGTTACAAAAACAAACATGAAAGTCTGTACTATATATATATTTCTTCTATCTAATGAGCTCGTTCCTTTATTTCCTAAAAAGGCATCGCTATTTAAGAATTGATTTCTTTACTTGTAAGAAGTCAATTTTAAGAACAGTCATAATATACTATTTCATGATCCTTCCATCAATGAAAGGTAAGGATAAGTAATACAATATTTTTCATACTTTATCAAACTTGAAATGATATAAGAAAAATCAACAATAAAATGTTTTTCTTTGCATATAAGTCAATAAATGGCTGCCATCATTCTGAAAAAAATACGGAACCCTCTTAAGCGAATTATATATTTTCCCTTGCAATTTTGCGATTATGCATCCACAGATATGTAAATAAATAAATCTGTTAAAATAAAACTTCTAAATAAAACTTACTTTCTGGTAGAAATTCTTTACCCTGGCAACATCTAAGGAACAACACAAGGAAAAGAACTGCAATTGGCTGATTCTTTCACAAACACTTTAATTCCACTTTTTACTTTATTTAATATTAATGCATTTTTTTAAATGAAAAAGTCAAATCAACATTTCAAGGTAAAATGCGCGACAAACCTTTTAATGAAATAGAAAACCCCATAAATTTTCAAGAAGGTATATAATTTGGTATAGTTTAACGCGCTTAATATGGATTCAAAAAATTAATTTTTATCCTACAAAAAATTATTAAGCAATGGTATTTTCATTAAGTATCAAAGACTTAAAAGCACAGGAAAGACTTGAAATAATCTATCTTTCTGACATATTCATTTGAAGCGTGAGTCATCCAGAAAATGTTATTCTACTGTATGGAGTGCTTTCCATAATTCCAAGAGAATTAGACCCGAGGAAACGAAGACATGTTCTCCCTGATTCGCATCTGCTACATTTCTTGTAGAAAAGTCCCAAACAGTAGAATCAGTAGAATCAGCGAATCGTTTTCCAATACCTTCAGAATTTTTCATCACTGGGTGTCAACACAGTGATTGCAACATGATGGCCCACGTTCTTAACACAAAAGAATAAATGTACCATCAACTTTGATGTATTCTCTTCGCTTGTTCAGTGGATCGACTATCCTGTGACACATAGGTATGGACAATGACCAGTTCTTCTGGCTGATGTATTTATTGTATAAATTGCTGAAAACATACTTTTTTGTAATCTTACGATTTACTTGTTTTTTTTTTTTTTTTTTTTTTGGTACCAACTCCAGTGCATACATCGAATGTGTTTTTGTAAAAAAAAAAATATTTTGTTGTCCTCTCTTTGCTTTGCATGTTTTCCCAATTTGATTGCTTTCACCAAGAATTCCAGTCTGCTGAATTTTTCTCCCTTTTACAGTATCCTCTTCATGATTTATTGTTTCTGATCATAAATTTTAGGACGCAAAATAGCTTCCTCAGGTGCTCTTTTTCAGATCTTGGACAGATGCATTCAACTTTCCTCTTTTCTCTCCAGAGCCTTGAGTTTTCCTTCCAAATCAGCAAAGGACCATAGCCATAGCATACTCTATTTAAAACAAATAACAAACATCTCATTAACTTTGACATAGTCTCATTAGTCTTCATATTAATGTCCTATTTAGAACGAAAAAAGGTTTTTACAAATCCCGATCTCTTTTTTTTAAATCAAAATTAATTTCATATTTTTACCCCAACAAAACTCATTCTTAAAAAAATGTCTTGAAGAATAAATATTTAAAAAATAAAATTAATTCCTATGAGATTTTATATCTAAATAAAATCTGAATTTAAAAAATCGCAAAACCCCCACACATGCTCAAGTTCACTAGCAAATATCAGTATATTAACAGTACATTATATACCTAAAATACCTAAAGTGGTCGGTAGATCGTGGGTTCGACGGCAAAGACTGGCCTAAGCTGATAAAACAGGTAGCAACTGTGTCCTCTCCAAGTCCTCGACACTTTGAAGTGAAAGTTGCGTGTTTTTGGATAAGATGTAAAATACCGAGGCCCCGTGTCACGACAGGCGTTGGTTGGATAAAAATCTCCCACTGCTAAATTGCCCTGAGTGCCGAGTAAAAGAAAAACAAAGCCACGATTTATCATATTGATATGGAATCTTCCTCAGGTAGTGTACATTCAAGTTTGTTCAAATCATGACCCCCGGGGGTAGGGTGGGGCCACAATAGGGGATCAAAGTTTTACATAGGAATATATAGGAAAATTCTTTAAAAATCTTCTCAAAAACAACAAAGCCACAATTAGTCATACTGATATGGAATCATCCTCAGGTAGTGAAGATTCAAGTTTGTTCAAATCATGACCCCCGGGGGAAGGATGGGGCCACAATGGGGGATCAAAGTCTTACATAGGAATATATAGAAAAAATTCTTTAAAAATCTTCTTCTCAAGAACAACAAAGCCACAATTTTATATTGATATTGAATCATTCTCAGGTAGTGTAGATTCAAGTTTGTTCAAATCATGACCCCCGGGGGAAGGATGGGGCCACAATGGGGGATCAAAGTCTTACATAGGAATATATAGAAAAAATTCTTTAAAAATCTTCTTCTCAAGAACAACAAAACCACAATTTTATATTGATATTGAATCATTCTCAGGTAGTGTAGATTCAAGCAGGGGTGTGCAATTAAAAAAATTAAGTACTAGCCCACGGGCTAGTGGAAGCAATAAAGTTACTAGCCCCAAGTAAAAAGTTACTAGCCCAAATGTGTGTGTGTGTGTGTGGGGGGGGGGGGGGGTAACAACTAATATTACAAGGAAATAGTTTATTGTTGAAATAGTCAGGGTTTAAAATAAATTTGATTCTTTTTAATTTTCAGAAGTAAAATTGAATCATATATAAACTGATAATTATGATAGAAAGTAAAAATAAATTCAAATAAATTATCTTATCTAAACTGAAATGACAATCATTTTTTCATCTTAAATCATTAAATACGCTGGAAATATATTTTTATGTAAACCACATAAAACTTATTTTTAGTTGATTGAGTGATTGTAAATAATTTAATGAGATATCTGCAGGTGTATTTACCATAAACAGAGGAATAGAGGAAATTCGGATTAGATAAAAACGATCGTTTTTGGAAGTACATAATTCAGGTAGTACTGCAAAATGGGTAAGATTATGGAGATTTACGAACAATTGGAGCATGCTGCCGAAAATTTTTCATTGCTTGAGAATTTAATAGCAAAAAATGAGTGAAAATACCGATAGTGATTTTCATGTATTACATTGGTAGTTTTAATTTTTACTAGCCCAAGGGGCTACCTCCGTGCACAAAACTACTAGCCCGACCCCAAACAATGGTAGCCCCGGGCGTTGGGCGATGCTAATTGCACACCCCTGTTCAAGTTTGTTCAAATCATGACCCCCGGGGGTAGGGTAGGGCCACAATGGGGGATCAAAGTTTTACATAGGAATATATAGGAAAATTCTTTAAAAATCTTTTCAGGAACAGGAAAGCCATGATTAGTCATATTGATATGGAAGCATCCCCAAGTATTGTTGATTCAGGTTTGTTCAAGGCATCCTCCAGTAGTAGGGTGGGGCCATAATGGGTGATCAAAGTTTTACAAAAGAACATATACTATAGGAATTATCTTTAAAAATCTTCTTCTCGACAATAACAAAGCAATGATTAGTCATATTGATACAGAAGCTTCCTCAGATAGTGTAGATTCAAGTTTGTTCAAATCATGAACCACCCCCCCCCCCCCTCCCCCAGGGTAGGGTGGCAGACATCTTTAAAATTAAGTTTTCAAGAACAGCAAAGCTATGATTAGTTATATGAATATAGAAGCATCCTCAGGAAGTTTAGATTCAATTTCATTCAAAACATGGCACCTGGGGGTAGGCTAAGGCTATGCCAAGAACAGGCGATCAAAGCTTTACACATGAATATATAGGAGAAGAAATCTGCTGACAAAGAACAGGAGGGCCATATTGACTCAGGTGAGCGTTGTGGCCCATGGGCCTCTTGTTGGTTTATTGACTTGTTCTTTAATCTTGAAATTTAAATCTTCCTAATTTTGTTATAAATTATTTTAAGGAAAACTGTATTTCATTGACAAATATAGAAATAACCACCACTTGCACACAGCCCCCCCCCCCCCCCCTTCTTCTGTTAAACCCTTATAATAAATTAACATGCATTTGCAGTTTGATCGAAATCAAAGTTTACAAAACGCGTACCTAAGTGATGATTATAAAAGTTAATGTTGTGTATGTATGTGTACAAAATACATATATATTATTATAACAGTAACTTGATCCACAGAGCCGTATCACGTCAAGTTGACAGGCGCGGATCATCAGATCAAACGAGACGCGAAGTGTCGAGTTTGATCTGATGATCCGCGCCTGTCAACTTGACGTGATACGGCTCTTCGGATCAAGTTA